AAAAACCCACCACCCCCCCCCCCCCACTATAATGCATTGCTGGGACTTGTAGTCCTACATAGTTGGTGCTATTCTGCATTGTTGTATAATTATCATACAGCAATGCAGAATACCACCAGCTATGTGGGTCTACAAGTCCCAGCAATACATTATAATAAAAGTCAGTTATGCAGAATACCACCAGCATTACCCCCCTTTCCCGTGCCCCCCCCTTCCCACTCCAGACTTACCTTCCCTCTCCTGCAGGGCCCTCTTCCGTGTCTCAGGGGGCGGGGCTAAGTGGAGAGGGTCCTCACACAGCAGAATGTGTTGCCTGGTGGTGCCTGCAGCACATTCTACAGGACTAGTGTGACAGCCTCTCCAGCACCGCCCTCTTCTTGCTCGCTGGGTCCCCCCCCCAGCAGGCGGAACGCCAGGGCCCAGTCGCAATTGCGACCACTGCAACCCAGGTAGTTCCGCCAGTGGCCTTGTAATTTTCCTGTGCATTTCTTAATCTGATATTTGCAGCACAGACTGTCTAGGACAGTTCCTCTCTGATGAATAAGGCCCTATGCAAACACCATTCCTTGTAATTTCCTTAAAACATGATCATTGTTAAGGAGTATAATTAGGTGGCTAGAGACATAGATTGGGGAAATCTGGACAGGGCTTCATTGTCCTGGAAATTCTGACAAATATGCAATATCGATAATTTAAACTTACCCTGTACTGCTGGTAGTAAGTACAAACCTCAGATAACCTGCAGTCAGCAAAAGTACATTGTTTGTACTATCTTGAGAAGAAAACATCAATGGAAGGAGCACTGCACACTGGACCTATTAACATTGACAGAGGTGAGAAATTAGTGTGTATTAATGCTGACTAGAGGGAGATGGTAAACTATATTTATATCTGATTTGACCAAATGTAACCACTATATTTATTGTTAAACATGGAAAATAATGTTGGATGTATAGTATTTATGTAACTGTTTTTATAACATTTGAACTATCCTTCATATATTTATTAACTGATCACCCACATTAAACTACAGCTCAGGGCAGGCTTCTAAGCATGGACATGCACAGTGATACATATGCAAGCCTGTGAGGGTTTGTAATGACTGCTAAATTTTGTGGGCATTGTAAGCTTGCCTTATTTATCAATTGGTCTAATGGGACAGCTACTGTGTCAGGCAAGCAACTTTGCCTCATAGCAACCAGTCAGGATAAAACCTCTGATCCCCACCAGCAAATTACCACTGACTTATGATTAAAATATAATATGGTCTTACCCAATTTTACTTGTTTTGTTGTATTAAAATTGTATTGTATTAAAAACAGTTAAAAGCAGATGGACAAACCTTCACTACAAGCAATACATTTTTATTAATTTGTATTAGTAGAGATTTTTAAATGCCCCTTTGATGCATGAGTGTCTGTAGATTTGTTTTATTATTTACAATAAGAATTAGGCCATAATCAGTTTCTCTTGGCAGATTCCTTATTTAAAACAAAAAATACAAGCTTTTTTTCTTCAAATCAAGTTTTTTTAAATCTGATTTCTTCTAATTTAAAAAAAACAAAACTTCAAGATACTTTGAATAAAGGTTGATTCAAAATTCCACCTCAACAAAACAGTCACTTGAGGCCAGTTGATAATCCATTTAAATTCTAGTAAAATGTTGCAAAATGGTATCGATATGTGTACACACTGAACTATATGTTTCTTATAAACATTGGGGTGAATAAACCAATTCTTCAATAAGAACAACACAGGGGGTTGTAGTAAATGTAATATTATATAACAGCTGCCATATTCATTAGTAATGACATAAGGGTCCCACAGCATCCTAGTACCCATCATTCAAGACACACATTTATTATACAACTATCCAAGGTTAACAGCTGTTTCCATCCGTTAGGTACTATGTTACCCGTTGAATGAACATTTATGTTAAACTGGTATTGGCACAGTTTTCTAGTCAAGAAAGGTCCAGTGCCAATGTTCCTAAGTTGACTAGTGATTTAATAAGAGTAGCAATAGAACTATTTGTGGTCACTTCCTGGTATATTCTATAAAGCCAGGAGTGTTGTTTTATAATTGCATTGGTATTTTGATATATATTAGACTTGTGAGTCACTTGAGCTTTGAAGTCTTCGGTAACCAAGGGCTTACAGATAGCAGACATTTTGATGGGGAGTCTGTGCTGGATTCATTTGTTGTAGACCATCAAGGCTGCTGTCGGAAGCGTGGTTAAAAGAAAATGTTAATGGCCTTAATACAGACTGTTTCAATAACACTCTGTTTACAGATTACAATAGGTTTTGCGATAAGAAAGCCCATTTCTACTGCAGCACTTGTTGATGGATATCGCTGATGGAAAACCCAAAAGAGTAATGTCTCTGCTATGAAAGGTGGGGGCTGTCCCTCCTGTAAACCAATGCGCTGTTTGTGTATATTCTGCAGAGACTTATATAAACAAAATGCTATACAATCTATTTAAACCTACCTTTCTGACACTAAAAATAATGATGTACAAAAAGTCTGTTTAACCAAGCCTTAAAATGACTGTCACTAAAACCAAATGAATCTGCAGGCAAGCATAAAGTATAAGCACCTAATGGTGCCTGTAGCCACTGCGATTTTGCCTCTAGGCCTGAATTCTGGGCATATCTCCAGCACTTCCTGTTAGCCTGCCCGCATTCTACACATATCCAGTCAGTGGCAATTGGAGCAGACCATCACATTGGTGGACCGATAGAAATGTGTGGGGGAAGGATGGAGTAGGTAAACTCAAACACTACCTGGAAATGTTGGCAATTTGTGCATTCAGAACAGCCTAGCATTCAGATGTAGAGGCAGTTCACTTTACATACTAGTAACATAATTTTATCTCACTTTAAGAACATTATTGCAAATGTGTTCACATGCAAAACCAGTGTAGGAATTATGTTATTGATGTTTGTCTGCTTTGACATGCAGTTTCACATAAGCAGATGTCTAGGTTGGTCATACTACTGCCGCAGGGAGAATGCTTCTAATTTTAATGGTAACTTATTGTATGTTGCCATATTTTATTGTTGTTAGCTTGTTCATTTTCATTGTAAGGTTGAAGTGCATTTTTTAACTTTAGTGTGTTTTTAATTAGTAATATTTTCTGTGATTAAATTTGGTTTATTTTGGTTTTCTTTTGCAGTCCTGGTACCTGGGCTAGCTTGGTTCCTTTCCAAGTATCCAATAGGACATCAATCCTACCAAGCAATGTCCAAAATTATGGACTAAATATCATTGGAGAACCCTTTCTTCAAGCAGAGACAAGCAACTGAAAAATAAAGAAAATTTGAATGAGCAGAGAGAAGGAAGAAAGGACATGAAGAAAACATGAAAGACAAGTTAAACTGACCAGCATTTGCAGCACTTACAATCACTGATTCCTTTAACCTTTTTAGTACTTGCAGGACCTGCAAAGCATTGGCTATCAGGCCTCCAGAGCACATGAGAGGTTAAGGCCGAAGCAGTCGTGACACTGAAAGGGTGGCTAATAAATTTCACAGATGGGTAGAATGCAACTCCTGCTAAACTAGCATTTGTTATCTAATGTCCGCTGGGAAATAAGCGCTCTTTCTCCACGACAATATATTTTGTATGACTTTTCTAGATGCCTTAATAATTGCATGATAAGCTAGTCCTGTTTGGTTTTAGTCTTCTTGTTGTTTACGCATGGGAACACTACTCCCATTTCTTCTCACAAAAGAAAGGCTGTGAGGCAGCGCAGAGCTGCAAGAAAAGAAGCCACCCCTACCATGGATCTCCTTACATATAACAGTTGTCATGTTTAATAGCATGTGGAAAGAAAGCATTAAATGATCTTCAGTCACTACTACTAGAAAGAGATGCAACTACAGTAATCCACAGTACACACCTAGCATGTTTTCGCCTGCTGCCTAATCTGAAATGTCAGCAGATTTGTGTCCCTCAGATTCTTGTAAAAATTGGTGACCCTTTTGTTTTTACAGAGATGCCAGTGCAAGAATTAAACAGGACTTAATTCCCACAAAAGATTAGTGTACAGGCAAGTGCTATTACATAATTATTTAAAGTGGCATAATTATAGTTAGTCCTTTAGTCCTCTGACTCTAAACGGTAGGGCTTGAAAAGCTACAGCCTGCCTAGTACCAGACAAAGCCTATGATTTTTCCATGTGGTCATCTGGTGCTAACGGGTAAAAATAAATATGAAATATTTTATTCCCTCAATGTATGAGGGCTAAGTAAAGTAAAATAAAGAGCAGCAAATCCTGAAAAATCATGTATCCATGATACTGAAATGAAAGGACTCTTAGCACTTATACTGGTGAGGCTACCATGAAGGGGCCAAGTATTTATTTATGATTATTGGTTGAATTAGGGGAAAAGGGGGACAGGCATCAGCATTAGTAAATCAGGACAAAACTCAAATACACATACTATTTAACCTGTCAGTCTGCATAAAATTGAACAAAAGCCCATGTGTCATGTACTTCTTTAGAAATAAGAACGTAAATTGCAGTCACATCCTCAAGGTAAAATTAATATAATGCCAATATAGTACAGAAGTTAAAAAGGAGAGCAATCATTAAGTACAGATTCCAGTAGTTGTATTTTGCACGAAACTACAATGTCCACATCACGTGCCTTGCCTTGGATTTTAAAAAAGTGACATCACTAAACTTGTTTTGCTGCATTTATTATCATTTTAAAACATTACCATTTTTATGGCAAGATATTTTGTACTCCACAGGGGGGAAAAAATTCTGTGACATCCTGGATTTTTTAGACAGTTATACCTTCTCACATTTATAAAGCATATCATGGCTGTGTATAATTGCCGCTTAAAAATAGTAATCAACCAGCAATATTTTCAGTATTTTGGTGTTTTTCTATTAACCTTTCATGTTTTTCATCTTCCAGTTAATATGGGGAAGGAGGGAGGGAGCTGGAATGGGGTTGAAATTTTTACAAAATTATGCAATACCAAGTTTTGCCTATGTAGGTAGTGCTTTTAGCAGTATTTGGTTATTCTAGGTAATTTAGCAGATAAAAAAAGAAAAGTGTAAAAAAAAAAAATTTAAATGTATGTGTTTTTTTTTTCCATTGACCAAAGTGGGTACTGCTCTTTTTGCAGTGTGATGAGGTCCTTTTGTGTACTGACATGGAGAGGAGATTTTGTTTTATATATGCGTATAAAT